AGTATTCTTGTTGGCACCTGTGGTCAGCGCACAATTATGAGTGTTCCTTGCCATGAGTACACACTGCATGTGTTTCCTGGAATTAAGTATTATACCATTGGTGACTGCGCAGTTTGCCAATCGAACGAGCAATAATCAGTTAATGGCAATGACACAACGCGAAGTAATCCCGACAGTCATCCGTATAGCGAACAGACGCAACTGGTACTGTAACGTTCATGTACTTGAGCCGGTGATGCAGTGGAGCCACTTTGTGCTTTAGCACAGTTATGCGCGGAGATTAGTCGACAAAAGCGCTACTGTCCCTTAGCGATTACAAACATTAGAATGGATGATATTCAAGTTGAATACGTTGACTTACGAATATCCCACATATAGTGATATGCTGAGCATATACTTCCTGGAGCCACAACCTTGAGTTTGCTTGAGAACGTGCCTAGTTCGTACTGTACTCAGTGATGATGATGATGTTGTGCTGTATCCACGCACTGCCGTGAACAAACATCATGGAACCATGGCATACTTAAACGGTTCCCCTAAAAGTAAGCGCGCGGCATGGCATTGCCGTAAAGCTAGTGGCAATGGCGTACATCATCATTCGCCAAGGCAGTACTGATGTATACCAATTATACTTGGTAGAAACCAATATGCAAATTAATTGTTTTACGATCATGGATGATGTTCGAAATCTAGTCTCATGGTTCCCCTCGCAGTTAGCAGGACTGGGATAGAGTGAAAGTCGTACGGCACGGCAAAGTATAGTTGATGGTATAATTCTTAGCTGCTGTAGTAGCTGTAGAGACCTGAAGTGAACCCCGAAGCGATCGGCTAATGGGGCAATATGGCTCTCATGTTTTGAAGTTCTTACGTCTTTCAATAAAAACCAGTCTAGAAGAATAACCTTCTAATTACAGACCCACGTAAATCGACTGGGAGCCATTGCCCTTATGAATTTGCAGAGCTAACACCATGAAGGCGCACTTTATATTGCCTGTTTTCCATGAACAACGAATGACGACTCAGTGTCAAGACATGGAACAGCCGGATACTACTTGATGGACGATATCAAAAAATGAAAAATGAAAGCAACGCCCGTGCATTGTGACGTAGTGCATTACAATCCACAGTAATAACATCATCCATGGTTCCCTGTTCAGGTCGTAATCCCTGTGAACTGAATATGATTTGCTACGCTGTGAATACAAAGACTTAAAAATCATTTGACAATCGTCTGTGGACAAGACATAACTCGAATATTGCGGGAGAGCTAGCACACAGTAGCTTTCTGATTCCGTCGGTAATTATAGCACGTCAGTTTCTGATGCCGGGTCTACTATGTCTAAGCGCGCCGCTCAAAATCGCCTAAGAGGTCCATTTAAGTAGGCCACAGCTCCTGGCACATGAATCGGTGCATTGAATTGCATT